CTCCTCCTCCTCCTCCTCCTCCTCCTCTTCCCTCCTCCTCCTCCTCCTCCTCCTCCCCCTCCTCCTCCTCCTCCTCCTCCTGCCCCACGGTGGGTGTTTGCCTGGCACCCATTCTATGGTGTCAGCGCCACTCATTCCTCGGGGCAGACTGGCAGGATTTTGCATCCGCGGGCAGGGTGAGCGGTTACCGGCCTTTCTCGGCGGAGGCTGAGGGTGGACGTTGTGATACCTGTATCGGCGGGCCGACCGCAAGGCGTCCGTCGTTGGGTGTAGCACGGCCCTCGGTCTCTGTGTGGATCGCAGCGGGACTGGGCCTGGGGGTGGACGTTGCGAAACCTGTGTCGGCGGGCCGACCGCAAGGCGCCCGTCGTTGGGTGTAGCACGGCCCTCGGTCTCGGTCCTGCTGGCGGCGGCGTCAGCCAGGCGCCTGGGTTGCTATTCCCACGTGGTCTGGCTCCCAGGGATGTGCGTTTTCCGTGAGAGGTGGTGGCATGTGCCACGTAAATCCGGTCGGGCCGCGTGTCCACTCACGGCTGGGGCTGTTTGCGTCAGGCAGACCCCAGAACGCACTGCCAATCGTCCCGGCAGGGGGCCTGAGGCCCCCAACGCACCATGTCGGGTCGGTTGGGCAGCGAGTCGTCCGGCTCCAAGGGGCAGCTCCCGTACCCTGTCCCGCGTGAATTTCTCCCGATGCGTATTTGCGGCGCTGGCTCGGGCAACTTGGGCTGGTGACCCTTATACATTCCTACATTCCTCCTCCTCCTCCTCCTCCCTCGCCTCCTCCTCCTCCTCCTCTTCTTCGGGAATCCACCGCGAGCTCCTCTAATCAGGCACGGCGAGCGAAACGATTCGAAAAACCGATGATTCGACGGAATCGGAGAATCACCCCGCTTCGTCTGGCCAGGCTTTGTAGCCTGGTGGCAAGCGGCCCGCGGCCAAGGCCTTGATTACACGAGCCCCCCACTCCCCCCGAGTCATGGGCTCGCAGGCCTTGGTCAGCTTCTGCACTTTAACGGGGCCCATTCCCCCTCGAGATCGGGCCCCGCAACTCCCGCATACTTCGCACCAAAACACACCCCTCGTGACGTTGAGTCGGTGAGACGGGTGCAAGGACTCGGGCCTACCCGCGCACTCCCCCCCCAACCACTCCAACTCCCGCCCAGCCTCCGCCCTGGTCCCGCACATCATGCATCGCCAGCCTTGGCGGTCTCGGAAAAGGGTGCGGGTCGACCTGCGGCGAGCTTCCTCCACCGCCGCCGCCGCCTCCTTCCTCCGCTCCTTCTGCTGAGCAATCCTGGCAGCACGGGACGAGGGCCCATAGAGCGCACGCGCCTGCGTGCAGATGGAGTGGGCCACCGCCAGCAAATGCTCCTGCACCTGAAGGGCGAGGCGGTCTGCCTCGATGAGGCGTCCTATCGCCTCGGGAGGGACCTGGCATTGGCGCGCACTCTCTTCGGCACCCGCGTCCGCCGCCCCGTTAGCTAGCCAGAGGGTCTCTCCAACATCCTCTGGCCGAGCGTGGGATCGGACCTTGATCATTCTGACATTGCGCCCAGCCGCTGCACGCCAGAACTCCTTCCAAGCAGAACGATTGGTCGTGTGACGGTGACCTGGGCCCTTCCAAAAGGCCTTGACTACACACGCCGAATCTACTGCCAGGCTGACATCTCCCTCTGCGTGCCAGAGGACTTCTGTGGCCCCCCGCAGTTCTGAGCAAGATACCGTCAGCTTGAAACCAGGGAGGGGTCCTCGCCCCCACGCCACGAGCCTGTAGTCTCCGATG